ATTGATATATAATATCATGCCCTCGTGCTAGAGCTTCATGATGGCAATGTCTTATTTCTTGTACCAGTTGGTCATGGCTCCTCCTACGCATGGCAGACTGCAAACTCTGAAGCGCTGCCTTCGAATCACAGAATATGACCCATTTTCCTGGACGTTCTTGAACGAGATATTGTTAAACAGCCCTTATAGCAGCAAGCTCTAATGCCGTAGATGTAGTCATATGCGACAACTTAAACTCATGCGAAATGTATTAAATATCAGGGGTGATTTGTATCTTGGCGATTTTCGCGATGTATTAACCTTGCTGTTCAGAGATATGTGCTCACACCCACACACACACACACACGCACCTGTTCAGATACCGCTCAGAGATACCTGTTCAGAGATACGCGCTCACACACACACACGCACGCACATGCGCACGCACACTTACGCATACCCACAGAGAAAGAGAGAAAGTCAGTTTCCGACGAACACATAAATCAGTTTCCTCAGTTTGTCAGCCAGGCGAACATCTCTAGCTTTTCATTTAAAAAAGCGCTTCCGATTAAGTTCGCCTCTCAACTAATCCGACGGCTTTGTTTGATTCTCTCGGGACTGCAGAAATATATAGAGTCAGGCTTAGCCTGCCCGTCTCAGCGTGGGAGAGGCCTACTGTGCGCTATAGTCGCGTTTCTCAGGACTGCTAATAAAGTTTCTCCATTCATTCACACATATATGGAGTGAGCGCGACCGGCTTTGGGATTCTGTCCGTCTGATAAACAGCGTCCCGCGCTTGATCCCATGACCACGGCGCTCGCTATATATGTCGACGTTAGCGAAACCTCCAATAGAGATTTCACGTCGAGTCTGGGCTCAGCGAACCCGGAACTCTGGCGGCTATTACTTGAGTCCACTTTTCCCCCGCAATATTCTGAATGCGTCTATAGCCCGTATACTATTAAGCCGCACAAGCGTCGCTCTTTGTGATCCTAGACGATGTTCAGGTACACGCGTACGAGCCTCGGAGTTGCACACCATCGGTTTGCACAGACTTTGGGCGGGCTTTTGCCTGGTGGCGTATTCAGTGTTAAGCGTAGATCTATAGCAGAACTAGACGCGCGAAAGGGAAGAAAACACAATTCTGGAAGAAACACAAGTTCTGCGCGTAAATATGGGCCCTATAAAGTGAGACATCAGATCAGTTCAGACAGGTAAGTGATTACTTCCGAACTTTATTATCACTGATTTCGACGTCATAGTTTTCTTGTTTTCTCTTGCAGCTGTTACGCTGTGGGTTTTTGTTACAAAAAATGTGGTTCCTTTGTTACCCCCTACTTCCTTATGTAATGGGTGCCCTGTTGGAGTATTTGAGGGTCAATAAATGATTACAAAGAACGTGGTGATAATGATGATAAGTTAAAAAAACTGCTGTTCAAAATTTCATTTTTGAACGTGTCGCCGAAACTTCAGCGTGTGAATTTTATCAAGATGACACGAACTTGGCAGTATATTTGCCGAGAGGAAATTATGCCAAGCTTTTCTTGGTTTTCGCTCACTTAACTGTATGTCGGTTGATTGCATATCGCTTAATTATGTCGGTTAATTGTATGTTGGTATACAGAAAACGAGCTTCTTTGGACAATGCCGGCCTCCACTTTCATAAAATCGTTTTGGGTGTTCTGGCGACATTGCTTAAGTGAAGTTTCTGGAAACTCAATATGTTAACGCTTTTGGGCCCTTATAACGCAGTGTAAGCACTTTTTTTGCCCGATAACTGATTACGTTGGCCCTAGTAGACTCTGTAAAATGTATGACGTAACGGCGATCCGGTGCGAAAATTTCAAGGCGGCGACGCCACCCGCATTTTGTTTTCGCGCGTCTTTTCGCATACCAAGCGTCTACGAGGACCTTTGTAATTTCTAATCGGTGAAAATGTAGCATACACTTTCTTTTGATGGGACCAGAGGCTTAGCATACAGAGTTTCAACAAACTTCCTTAAGCCAATGCCGCCGAAATATGGAAAATACACCTTGCAATTCATGACGCAACTTGCGATTCGTGACGCAAAAATGAAACTTAATTTCACCTTGAGTTTCTCCGCTATTTAAATGCATTAGGATGACTGTAAGGTTAAAGCCATCCTCTGTATTGATGCTGTCCCGCCACCCTTCGAAAGCTTTCTGCACTTAACGTGGTTTCGCCCTGCCTGCAAGGTGGGAGGCACCCTACCTGGTTGTGCATTGCCTCTGTGATTGGACAACCGTTGTCACCAACCTACGATGCGATGTGATGACGTCATTATGTGAAGGTACGTCGCAGTGACGTCCCGAACGTTGGCACAAAACACTGCCGACGCGGGACGCCGACGGTCACATTTCGCCTTTGATGAAGAAGCATGTAAGGCTATCGCTTTAAGGCTATCGCTATCGCATGTAAGGCTATCGCAATCGCTATGCGGGTGCAACAAACCTCATGGGAGTTTTCAGTGTAAAATTGGTCAATATAAAAGTACTCGTTGTTAAACATTCGTTTCCATTTAACACTGTGTATCTCGCATCGACAAGGCCAGAAATCTACCATTGCTGGCGACGTCCCGAGCGTGTTCGCTCCTGGCGTTTCACTTGTAGCTGGGAGCTACGAGCCGTGGTCGTACTGGGCCCCGTGAAGAAAAAAAAAATCATGACACGATGCGGGAGAAAAGCGCGTCGGCCTAAGACAGATGAATGTCATACGTCGTGTCGGCAGCTTATGGCGTTCGCAGCGGGGAAGGTCCCATATGTGTCGCGCCTTCGTGGTCGCGAGGACCGTGTGACACGGGATGAGCACCGCGGACGCGCGAGTGCGTCGAGACAGGATGCTTCTCCGGCAGCCACTGCTCGTCTCTCTTCCATCTTCCACGTCCGTCCGCGCCGGCACGTGCGATTGCGTGGCGTTGAATACCCCGCGTACAACGCGATACCAGCCGAATTGCACTCTTTCTCTGCGATTCGAGCGCACAGAGAAATGGCTGCCCGTCGTGGCTAGGTTCTGTGTTTTTGCGTGGGTCCCTAAAGGAGGTAGACGTTTTTTGTTGAAGACCTTGCCAACACTCATATTGTTATTATTTTCTCTCTGTAAAACACCACCTCAATACGTATTTCGGAGGGGGTCTCTGGCTATACGGGCCTGGGCTATGGACTTAACACACCAAGTTTTAGAAAATATAGTTCAACCAGTGCCTCCACAATTCGAAAAAGAAAAAAAAAGTATGCTTCGAAATTCGTAACGTCTATTGCGATGGTTTGGATGTGAAATTCAAAAACGACACCTTTACTTTTATTGTCTCCTCTATTGATAAACGTATGACGACATAATTAACGAAATTAGAGTTCTCAGAGCAATGTTTGTTAATATAAACCAATTCAAATATCAGAAGAAATATAATTAATATCACAAGCCATGTTTTCTTCGAAATAAAGTTGTACGTGTATGGTCTATATCAAAAATGAAAAAAAAAAGTGTTTTCCAGGTAAGTTCGATGTACTGGCCTTTTGATGGAGTTCCAAGAACTGCATCCTCTTGTTGGGTGTTTCACAATACCGATAACTAATCTACGTTGTATGTTGGATGCAGCGTTAATGAAACGTAACGAATGTATGTATGTGACAGCGCTACTTCCCTCGGGTAAGGACGCCTCGTAAAGGGGAGTGTTGTGCGCGTGCAGCAGTTGCCAGGCAACGCGCCCTCCCATGCAACCACCTCCTTTAATTGCGTTCGCCCGCAAAATTTTTGGCGGGGCTGAGGAAACGATGTGTCCCGTGTATGAAGAGCTTAGATGGGCACTGAACGCCGTGTTACGAAACATCGGTTGCGGTGATTACGCCGGATGGTGTTCGCGGTCAGTGATGTACAAAAAGGATGCAAGCAATGTTTTGTTTTTGCTTGCGTCATTCTTTCATTCATTCTTCATTCTTTCTTCTTTTACTTATTATTTCTTTTTTTTTGTGAATTCTGTTAGTGTGTGAGTCCTGGATGAACCGAGTCGCACGCTCGGATTTACCCGTCTGGAGCAGTCGCGATTCGTTTCTGCTCCAACGTGATTAAGTGGCCGGAAACCGAGAATGCCCGCTTCCACCTGCGTCGTCGAGCACCTGATTGAGATGATTTTGTGCGAAAGAAAGCTTCACTTTGCGTGCTAAGCAATGTATTTGCCGAGTAACGGCGCTGTCCTACCAAAAGCTGGAGAAAATGACTTTTTTCTTTCTGCTTTGTCCTGGTCTTCTCTTCAGTATACTTTTTTTCTTCAACGTATGATATGCCTTGATGTATTAACTATCGCAATGTTTTGTTGCCATAGGTCGGCCTTAACGGCGACACATTAGGGAAACATAGATTGATTAATGGTATTTCTAGTGTGTATATTAGCAGTATCTCTCATCCTGTTATGATGTGCTGTAACGAGTAGGCTTTACTGAATAGTTTTTCTCTCCTTTGTCTGGTACGGCTATGTTTCAAAAAAGATGCCCTTGGCACTGGCAACGTCAAGCCCTTGGCCTCGGGTCAAGAGGCGGGCTAACTGTTAACTCAACGCATGGCTCTACAGAGTAACTTGTATGACGTGATTGATATGCAAGAGCTGGTGGAATAATAATAATAATAATAATAAACGACAAAACAGAACTCTAGTCGACACGCTACACAAAAGCTTCCGCATTAAGCTTTCAAAGTCCTTCTTTTATCAAAGTAACATCTCTGTGCCGCGACCCTCTTTGTCGAAATTGTTCGCACAGGCACCGTGCCCCCAGTGCTAGGGGCAACCGTCTCGACTGTCGCGACGCGGTCCTCAGCAAGCACGCGTAAACATAAAAAAAAAAAAGTTCTAGAAAGAGTAGTCGAGTTGCTTCCTCTATAAAAGACTAGCGCTAAAAGCGCGCGCGCGCACGCGTTGGTCGCGATTCTCTCGATTAAGTTGAACGAATCAACGCCTCTTTTCATTCGTCTCACCGAGTCTGTGCCCCCTCTCTTTCTGTATACGCAGGCTTTGGAGCGGACCACCGCCACCACTGAAGAAAAGGCGACGAGGCGGGGACTGCACTACTTAAACCGGCGACTGCGTCGGCGGCAACACACGCCGGCGCTCCTCTCATTCTTTTTCCTGCTCGTGTTTCCCGCACCGACGAGCGTCGAAAGAAAAGAGAAGTTCAGCCCGGACAGCGCATCAGCGGCGACTTCGCCGCGCGTAGGCGGCTAGGACGACCGGTCGTCGGGGCATGCCGACGACTCGAAGCTCGCCGCCGGCCGCGCTGACGACGACGCCTTCTGTGCCGACGCTCGGGGACGCCGGAAACAAAAGAGCGCGCTGGGAGCGACGCGACCGGAACTAATCCGTCGCCCGGCCGCCGGAGTCGAACGAGGCCTGCGAGGACGCGACGACGAATAAGCACCCCTCCTGCCGCTGCGAGGGCCGTCGCCCATGAATCCTGCTCCTCCATGGCAGGTCAGAAAAAGATGAGGATCATTCCCTCTCCATCTCTTAACCTCTTGGCCATCTCCTTCCATCGTCCACGTATTTCGCGCCCTCTTTTCGTTGATCCGCCATGCTCCAGCGAGTGCGCTAAGCGCGAGATTCAAAACGGCCGAGAGGAGGCGGGTATAGCTAGCGACGTGCATTAAATGTCGGTTCGCAAAAAGTTCCTTATGACTCACGAGTCGCGATGATGACCCTCTCGCTTCTTTGCCCTTATTCGTCACGCTCCGGCGATCGTGCACAAAGGCGAGGGGCGACGCGGAGAAAGGGCGATCGAGACGACGTGTGTGCTTAAAGAGTGCGTTCTCCTAAATTTGCTTTGCGAGTGAGTGACCGGCTTGCTCAAGCGGCGTTTGGATCCTTTAGAGAGACGTTCTTTTGAGAAGGTCGACTTGACCAGCCTCGCCATCTTTAATTCCTCTTATCGTTCTTCGCGCGGTGTAGAGATAGTGCGAAATAAGAGCGACTCAACATGTACTTGACATCATTTTTGAGCGTTGTAGAAACCGTTAACCTGTTTACTTTAAGTATTCGTTTCCTTCACTTGTGTCGTACCTACATGCACAAGTGCAAAAAACAAAACAAAAACGAAGTAATCATATGAGATATCCGTATTCCACTTATTTTATTCTTACAGTAAGGCCATACCTCAAGGAAAGCTGTGAGGGTGACAGCGAATACTAAACGAGTCACATGTTCATTTACTTCGGAGGTTTGCTTTATAATTCTGCTTTTTTTTTTCAAGCAACGCAAATGTTGCGTGCCCTAAGCCCGTATTCAAACACACACACACACACACACACACAAATCTTACGCTAGAGTTGTTCGTAAAAGAATATTTCATTCAATGACTATGTGGGACGTATCACTAGTGAAGCCGGCTTAACAATGAGAAAACGCACACAAAATAGCTTTATGAATTGGGCCCCTGAGGTTCTAGCGTTTATCACACATGCAATTGGTGTTTAGTACTTGGACGGTGTTAGATAGTCGTGAGTAACGACACAAAAGTTTAGTGTGGCGTCGTCAGAGAGACTTTCATTTTTTCACACTCCTTTCCAAGTACAGGCTAGCATATAGGAGACTTTCTCTAGTTAACCTCCCTGTTTTTCATTTATTTATTTTTTTCTTTCTCTCTTCTCCTCTCTCCCTATAGTACTCACCGTACCCTTTTTCGATTTCAATTTCGTGTACCCCGCATACTACTCTCAAAACAACAAAAAAGTGCTTAGCACACCCAGCTCACCTCAGGTCTTGGTAGCATCTCACAGCCTCCTTCGGCTGTAGGACCTTTCATACTGGATTTCCGCAGCTAACAAACGACTCAACCGAATCCGCCAGCGCCAAAACGCGCTGACATGCTTTCCAAATGACGCGAGCCGTGGCGATTTTCGAAAGCGTCGTCTTTCTGTGAGCGAATTCATCCCACTCGCCGCCGTCATCCCATCTCGGTGCTTCGGCCGAGGGCCTCGATCCAGGGGCGTGTCGGATGGCACGTCGTTCGCCGTCGCCCGCATGCCTCCGAGCCTGCCGAGAAAACGCGCCTTTAGGGGGAAATTGAGCCAAGGTTGACGCTTTGAAAGGGCCGGCTTACTTCCGTCAGCTCCTATAGGATTACGCGTCACGGCTTTCCTGACGAGTTGACAGCCTGTAGCGAGGTGCGGTAAAGGTTGACCGTCGCATGCAGAGGTTATGGCTGAACTTAATCCTCCGATAACCCCTACTTTGCGCGTCTGTATGCTTCCACTCTGAAATTCGGCCTTGGCTTCATTGCGAAACCACGGTTTGGCTTGCGTGGTCGACATTGTTGTAAATGGTTAGCTGTGGAGAACTACCGGCGCAGCTCGGAGCGCAGTATACGTGAACAGTCCATTATAATGTAAGATAGACAAAAAAGTTTGAGCACGTTTTACGTTGGACTTCAACAGCGATGGACTAATCGAGCACCGTGTTCTTCGCTTACAGCCATAACACAAGATACGGCATGTCCGTGCGTAGACTTGGCCCCTTTGAATCTATCTTGAAATGCCTACTGCAAGCGAATGTGCACGCTACGCTGCAGTTGTTCCTTTCTCAAAGTGGCGAAACACCGACTGCGCATGCGTAAGCTGCCACTCGCGCGTGCGCAGCTGCGCACTTTGTAATGCGTGGGCCGCTTTAAACCATCCACCCGTTCCGCACATAACATGTTCGCTGCCCTGTGAGTTTTTTCACGATTGTGCGCTAATGAGGCTACTCACGCTATACGTCACATTTTGAACGCGTTTTTTTTTGTGTGTGTGTGTGAAGCAGTGTAAACCAGTGGCATCACTTCAATGCATACCACTCAGCTGCTTACTATGCAGAAAGCCTGGGTTCGATTCTCAGTTGTCCCGAGTATTTCGTTTTGTTTTATTTTATTTACTTGCACGACTCGAAGGTGAAAGTTATCATTTTTTTCTTTAGCGGCTCATTCTATTGCATATGCCCCCGTCCCACAAAAACATTCTGTCCTTGTGTTATATTACAGAGTTTTAGTACTGCGGAATGGTGCTACGTATGCATCACGCAAGCGCCTTGCGTTACGTGTCGTCGTTTGCCTCTAATCGGCTTTTAGTACGCCGTAGTACCCACTTACGTAACGAGCGTGAAGCGTGTTGCGTCATCTGGTAGATCAGAATAGAAGCACGTGTTGTTGACAGTCAATGTGAGCCAATCCAAGTGTTATAGCCAGATTATGGCCATATTTTAAGCCACAGAGCCAGTCGGTGCTTGCCTTCGATGCCGCCATTTTGCAAAACGAAGTCTCGCGCTTTCGCGAACTTGTTCGAGAGCGGCGCGATCACCTCATACGTACGCACGCACGCATCTCATGCGTGCGTACGTGCCGGCTGCGTACGTAACGCGATACGTGCGCGTTGCGGTCTGCGCATGCGCACTACGCAGAACGTGGCGTCCTTACGTACGCAACGCCGCCACGTACGCAGCGTACGCAGTACTAAAACTCTCTATTGTATATGCTCTGGGATGGGAGGCATTGCAAGTGTTTTGCCCTTTCACGGGCCTCTGGAATCGGCGCGCCAAAGACCAAGGGACTTTGTTATGTGATAGCGTCATCAAGTGACGTCATACGTTCCAAATTTTGGTTATGACGTCATAGGGTGATGTCATTACATGATGATGATCCTTTGCATCACTCTTGTTGACGCCATCCGATGGTCACTTTATCGGAGGTTTTCGCCTTTAGATATCAGGAACCCGCCGATGGCGTCTGTGCCTTGTTACTCTTCTAACTGCCAGATTCGATCATGGCCGAATTTCGCCAAGACGCTGTAGCGAAAATTCGTTATTACCTCGGTTGCAGTGCACGTTGCGAAACCCAGACAGTCAAAGCTAATCTTGTGCTTTCCACTACACAAGGCGTCCTTCGTAATCCGATGTGGCATTTCAGTAAGTTTAAACCCGACAAGTTAATTTGATTCATATTGATCGTGCAGTGTCGTTGAATCGTTGGGTTTATAGATACCATGATAGTGTTCCTTAATTAACGAACGCGCTTGAACTACGGAGCATGCGCAAATTAAAGCGTTGGCTGTCGGTAAAAAAAAAAAGATGGTCCTGCCGAGTGAGTGGCACTGTTCTTAATTTCACAAGCTTCGTTTGCACAACCTGTGCATGGGTAGAACAGATAGCGCGCGCAGAGTTTTTAGGCATCCGCGTCAACACATTTGCAGGTGCGCCGTCTAGATATGGCCATGTCACCATCACATACAGTGAATCAAAACTGTGTGTAGTTGCGTGAAATTACGCGGGCATGTATGACAATAGATTAACAACACTCGGCATTACTTGCAAGGGTTCAAGTCAGCGAAGATTAAGTGCTGTTCAAATCAATGAATAATGACAAGGAAGAATAAGTTGTTAGCATAAAGTTTTTCCTTTCCGAATATTTATTTTTATATCGAATACGCAGTGAGCGTAACGCTGTCATGTACGGCATGATTGCGGCTTCGTTGCGTTGCGGTATGTTGTGCAATGAAGATGTCGAGATAAGCAATGTTTGTGAGACGAGTGTTATTTTACATACGCACTGCTCTCGTACATGCCGTAGAGTAAGCGTATTGTACATGTTTTTAGCCCGCCGTCCAGGGTAGCAACTTCGTTTCGTAGCTAACTTCGGAAGCTGTGAGGTGCTGGTTCCATCTCAAGTTAGGCGACCACACTGAGTTCGGGACAAACGAAGAAAGAAAAAAAAAAGAACGGTTGCTGCGATTTTTCTTCACGTTACAAAAAAGTCAGGCATTTGACAATAATCTGCGATCATCGCTATACGGTATATATGCCTTCCACAGTCTGGTTATTGTTTTAGCTTATAAAACACATTTTTTTCATTTTTTATCGAAATTTTAGCATTTAGGACCTGGGAGCTTGCTTTCGTTTTCAACTCATCACCTATGCCGTCCTAGATAGGCTTATTACGTTCGATGAGCGATACGGCCACACAGGCGGAAACAAGCGCAGCGCAAATTTATATACGCGCTGAAGCCGGACATGGCGGGACAAATATAGTGAGCCCATCCGCGCCTTTTGAAAACGCCGGCTAGACCCTGGCACAGCGCAGAAGTCAAAAACAAAGCGGCAGTTATGAATTGGGATACAAGCGAAACGTGCGGGTCGAGATAACCTTGCTAAGTATTGCAGAAGTTCAACAGTGCAAGCAGTAGACAAATGATAATAATTTCAAGTACGGGCGCATGAACATTTGCATACTTATCGCGTGTTCGAGTCAGCTGCGCGTAGTGATTCAGTTACGACTTTAACAACAACAAAAAAAAAACGGAAGAGGCGGGGATCCTTTGCAATTCTTTCCTGGTCGCTGGGAAATGCATGCGAAGCAATGTCAGGAGTGGCTTGGAACCATTCCCAGTCGCCCTACCACTGATTCCTCATGGCAGTGCCATGTTTTCATGTGGTTAGTATTTCATTGCCGCTGCAGCATGGCCCGTGCGGCTAGTATCTGAGGAACGTGATATAACTTGGTTAGTCAGGACCCGATAAGAGATTCAAAACCAGTCGGATGAAAAGTTCGCGCAGAATGTACTCTGTTCAGTCTCATTTTTTTCGAGGAGCGTTAACGTATTCGCATAACGACTGCGCCTTGTTCTACTTCAAGGGCATGAACAGGGGACCGTTCTCTTGCAGACACAATGGCTCGACCTTTAGAAGATGACTGCTTCCGGAGAAGATCGGTCGAAGAGGATGTCGCCAAGGTGAGTCGTATAAGCTTGCTGTCTTCTTTTAAGAAACTGATTAGATTTCACAATTTCTTTCGGTCATTGATACGCTCATTGTTTATAATAGACTGTTGGGCGAGTTGCTAGTGTTCGATCATTACAAAGAGCGTGAAAAAGACGTGAGGTAGTACTAAGAAAGCTTCACGACAGTGCGCTGGTCGCGTATTCCTTCGTTCTACATCGTGTCTTTCTCCCCTTTTCTTGAATCATCGTTCGTTTTGACATTTCTTTTAACGCTCCCAGTGACGATTTACTCTCGGCTTCAAAAGTATAGGCACAGCTAGGCCCGACAAAGCTTTGCATTTTCCTATAATGCGTGCTTGTATCGGCCGGACTGCCTAGCACACTTTGATGGACCGGTAGTCTGAACTGAGTGCTATACCTTCCGAAGATTCAGCTTTTTTCATGATCTCGTAGTCCCTAAACGTGCGAACGTTGACTCTTATTCGGGGACGTGTGTCGCAAAGCGTTTGGCGGGCACGCCATTTTACCGGAGCGGCATATGGTGCGTCGACGTGACAGTCTCCAAAGCAATGTCAGCCGTATTTAGAAAACAGCACAGGCAGCTACTGAAGGCTTTCTCGATCGCCGTAATAAGGAAGCGTTGTCCATCGCTTGGAAGCTGCATACTGGGGAAAAATGGAGAACGAGAGATCGTTACGTATTTCGAATGTGTCGGGAATAGCATCCCTAAGCAGTTTGATTGATTGATATGTGGGGTTTCACGTCCCAAAACTACCATATGATTATGAGAGACGCCGTAGTGGAGGGCTCCGGAAATTTAGACCACCTGGGGTTCTTTAACGTGCACCCAAATCTGAGCACACGGGCCTACAATCCCTAAGCAGTTTAAACGTTTTAAACGTTTTAAGAGACTCAGAAGTATATTGCCTGCTGTCGAAAGACCCAAAAGAGTGCGTGCGATACGATATATCGCAGTTGTGACAGCTTCGTAATGTGTGTTTGTCCAGAGATGTGCCTTGTTTGCACCGTCCGGCTTCCGCCCGTTTTTATTGAATTCTAATACTTAGGTTATTGCCTGTAAGCGCAATCGACATGCAGGTGACACTGGTAAAGCGGGATTCTGACGGCTCTGGCCGTACGGGCTGTTGCTATAAATAAATAAATAAAAGAAAACTTACAATCGTGCATAAGCTGCTGCTCACAAACATGTCTCCGATGGCTTGCAAAAGGTTTTTAGCCCCTTATAAGAGGCTGTTACGCAGCAAAGACGCGTAACAAAGCGTGTTACGCGTCACGTGTACACGCTTTCATCAGGCGGCCAGAATTGACGCTTCCCGCACCGCGACATTTATTTCGGGTCTCGGTATACTCGCTTTACACGTACAGCGACCTCGCTGACTTAACTGTGACGCGTTGTTCGCGCCTTCGCGAGCTGACGTCGTCGGATGCTCCATATTGTTGTTAGACGCATTCGAAGCGAGAGGTCAACAGTCGTTTCGTGTTCCCGGCACGAGGTTGACGTTCTGACAGACAATGCCCTGTCTGTTTCGAAGCGCGCGAACGTCAAACGTGTATCTGGAAGCTAAGCCTATAGATAACCTCCGAAAAACACAACGTAATGTCACGATCCTGGACGTGCCTAACTGGCCGGTATACTGCAAGTGTAATTATACATTCGGCGCCACAAGATTACTAAACGTGGGATGTTATGTGTTCCAACTATTTTCGACCATAACCAGTGAAAACAGACGCTAGTGTACATTGTCAGCATGTTTAGTCCAGGCTGCGAAGATGTGTTGTCTCTCGCAGACACCTCAGTCGGTAAACTTTCGATGGCCCCGCCGCGGTGGTCTAGTGGCTAAGGTACTCGGCTGCTGACCCGCACGTCGCGGGATCGAATCCCGGCTGCGGCGGCTGCGTTTACGGTGGAGGCGGAAATGTTGTAGGCCCGTGTACTCAGATTTGGGTGCACGTTAAAAAACCCCAGGTGGTCAAAATTTCCGGAGCCCTCCACTACGGCGTCTCTCGTAATTAAATGGTGGTTTTGGGACGTTAAACCCCACCAATCAATCGATCAATCAATCAATCGGTAAACTTTTGATGAAAACAGCGCGTACGATACGTTTACGCTTGTAATGCCCTGTGTTGACAGTAGGTCGTGTATGTGAATCGAAGTTGGCTAAGAGTAATTGAGCGCGTGGCTGCGGACGGCTATCACCGTCCGCAGCGGATGCCTCGAAGATTTTGTTCTTGCTTGTATGTCAGCGCAAGTTTCTACGACTTGGTATGACTATGTTTTGTATCATTGCAATGTCAGTCCCTGCGTGGTCTAGAGCGGCCGTCTGGTCGCTCTAGACGAGAGGGATTCAGGCTATATGCCATCTCGCAGCGCAAAACACTCGAAGACGCGCTCTATAGTTGCATGGCATGTGTACCAGTTCGCAGCATAGATTAGATTTTCTAAGATGCAGTTTATCATGCTGATACGCAAAATAGAGGTTATCGCGAATGACACGAACGGGATTCGAGAAAGGCGTGCGTTGTGGTTTAGCACAAATAGGGGCCGTTCACCTTATAGCTATCGCTACATGTGGCAATTTTCGTGTCCAGCTGCCGATGACGCATGTGCAATCGGTGCAGGTTACCCATTCAATCAACCAGTTCAGGTTCTTTTTTTTTTTTCGTTTAGGTCTACGTGCGGCATTTACTTCTCAAGCAGATCGCGTTAGCTCATGGCATTGTTCTGCAGTTAGGCGGATAACAGTCTTTTTCACTGTCACAACGAAAGATAGATGTATTGTAAGGTCAGCGCTATGTCGGGAAGTCTGCCATTGTGCGCGCATCTCAAGTGACAGATATAGTACCGCCGTCATCACAGCGCATAACGCGCGAAAGCAGAAGCCGACGTGTAAATGTCAGCATGCGCGCTTGCCACTGTTTTAAGTGTGCGAGCGTGCGACTGTGACTTTCGAAGAGGGCGCGTTTTTAATCGCTGATCTCGTCAACAGGAGCCGTTCAATACTTTTTGAACTAATCATCAAATGGCTTCACCACATGGCTTCACTACAGCGTCGCGAATCCATCACCGAAAAAAAATCTTTAAATATATCAAGTACGAGTGGAGTTATAGATTTGTCGCACGATGTAATTGCTTTCTTTCTTCTCTCGTCCCGACGAACGCGCTGAAAGCTAATCAGGGAGGAATGGCAGGGCTGTAAGCAGTTACGTCAATCGCCCTCGACAACGCTCAGCATTTCTCTTCTCTTTTTTAACGACGATAGTCTTTCTTGGGGACCTTCGACGCAATACTTTTGGTCTGTCTGTCTGTCTGTCTGTGTCTGTCTGTATGGTTGGTTGGCTGTCTGTAAACTTGTCTGTTTGTCCACTCTTAGCGGCACCCAGTACTCGAAACAGCCGACCCTATCCGCAGCGCCCACCAATGTTGCTCAAGATTTACCGTTCATGATTGTGCAATCGTCCATTAAAAAGCAATTATTGCCCATATCTAAGGCACCATAACAACACATATATGATCTGCATGTGCGCCTTTTAGTACAAAAGGCATACGTAAGTAATTTAAGACCATGCTTACGCTCGTAAGACCATGCTTACGCTCGCACAAAAAGACGAGTGTTTCCAACACTTCGCTAGGACGAGACGGTGATGGCACCTACCCGTCGCCTTGCGTTCTACACCTTATCACCTCTGAGTCGGGCGCGCATACCCGTCTCATAGCCACGCCCTTTTTGTAGTGGAAGGCTCCGGAAATTTCGACCTCCTGGGGGTTCTCTAACGTACACCCAAATCTAAGCACTCGGGCCTACCGCATTTTCGCCTCCATCGAAAATGCAGCCGCCGCAGCCGGAATTCGATCTCGCGACCTGCGGGTCAGCAGCTGAGTACCTTAGCCACTAGACCACCGCGGCGGGGCCAGCGTACAAGTACCTGGATTTATACTGTACGTGTGATCTAATGTGACACGCGAGGCACTGTTAGATGTCAGTAAGCAGACGATTCCGCAACCTGTGACATGAGCGAAAAATTCAGCACCGTGTGGCCTGCCGCCTAGCTTTTACGTAGTTTCCGCATTTTCTCTCACCCCTTTTTCTCATTCCCAAGCAGCGGAGTCTCCTTCTGGTTAACTTCACTGTCTTTCCTTTATCTTTATCGCTCGCTCTCTCTCCGCATCTAGAAGCCTTTCCTTTGTTTTCTTTCATTCTCTTTTCTCTTCATTCACGACACAAGCCTTACGTATACCTCTGATTCAAAGGGATTCCAGTAGCCTCGTTTTGATTTGGCAACTGCTTTTGATTAGTTGCTTAAGTGTCCATGATAGAAAAAATGATGTAGAGTAGCACTTTGCAATTTGTGAAGCCCCTGTTAAATTGCGTTTCATCGCCCGTTATATCGCCGAGGAACAAAATTGCGAGGCGTGCACACTTTTTTTTTTTTGTCGTGTTGACTTTTTATTTCAACCGTACAGGTAAGATGCTTGCCGTACAGTGGAATTGTCGGGTGCACCAGCTTTCGACGCACGTACGAAATTATATTTCTTGATATGGAAACGCACAGGGTGCCCCTTCTTGAAGACAGAGGAAACCTGATCGTCTATAGGTTAGATATGCAGTCTCTTAGTCATTCGCATGTCGCTTTACCAACCGCACTCTTCCTTTCGTTTGTCTTTTCCAGTAGTCTCTTGTTTTCATTGCTCTCATCGAAGATGGCGAGGCGGCGCTATAGGAGCCGCGGTCAGGTCTCGTTTGACGTCAGAGCTGTTGTCATTTCTTCGCGTCTGCGAAAGGAGAGAAAGGCGCCCGAAAGACGAATGACACGTCCGTCTGTGGCGACGATTTCACGCCGGCGCACGGTGTTTATGCAAAATCTTCGATGGGTGACACGCTGAACTACATATAGCAGTATAGGCACCGGCAATCCAAGGCACGAGATAAAGAATACAACGCGCGCGCGTGTGCGTGTGCGTGTGCGTGCGTGTGCGTGTGTGTGTGTGTGTGTGTGTGTGTGTGTGTGTGTGTGTGTGTGTGTGTGTGTGTGAGAGAGAGAGAGAGAGAGAGAGAAAATGCGCAATAGCAGAAAGCCTTCATTTCTATGGCAGAACAAAACAGGTGTCACGCCGGAACATGTCACATACAGTACCCGCATCCGTGTATACGCATGCATTCAAGGATTTATGCGCGCGCAACTTATATGTGCCAGGACTATCGAACGGAAAGCCAGCGTTGAGTGAGTGCAATCTAGGTGAATAAGCTCTGCAGTATCTTTGTCTTTCTCGCCTGTGCACTGTGAATCGCAACACGATAGTCTTATTAGAGCCTTATACAGGTGTGTGCTTTTATTCGAGTGCTTGTTAAAAAACCCCAGGTGGTCGAAATTTCCGGAGTCCTCCACTACATGCGACGTCTGTCGTAATCGTACGGTGGTTTTGGGACGTTAAACCCCACATATCAATCAGCCTTACGGTTTTTCCCGACCGTATCTGCCACGTGAATCCGTGGAGTGTTCCCCCCTTCAGGGAAAGCCGATAAAACGTCTCTCGATAGCTCATACCTGAGCCCACGTGCGTACAAACCCGCGCTTTGGGAGGACGTGTGTTTTAGAACAAGGATCACCGCCGCTAGCGACAGCTGCCGTTTATGCCGCATACTACTATAAATATATATATACACACAGCTGCAACGTTCGCTGCAGTTTCCCGCCGCCAGCCACGTGGTGCATCGTGAAAACGGTATAGTACAGTGACACCGAAGCCGGAGGACAGCTTCGCGAGTTGCAGCGCTCGCAGCCCGGTTGGATATAGCCCGAAAGGTTTTGCGCAGCGCGCTTAAAGGTTTCGCGTTGTGCCTGTGAAGGGAGTAGCTTCGATGGACGGAACACTTTCGCCTGCTTTCGGTGCTTGACCGGATACTCTTTTTTGAGTGTGACTGGAAGCCCGTCGGAGTGTGTGTTAGCGCAGCGAAAGAGGTCGCACTTACTGCGTTTGGTGTGTTTGTTCGAGAATGGATGACTGAACACAGTTCGTGCGATGTGATTGAGCGGTCTCGAAACGCAGCTATAAATGTGATTTCCCGTAATGCAGCTGGGGCTGGCTGTGCGTTTGTTTGCTTTTTTTTTCTAATCCCTGTACATGAAGCGCGCTTAATTACCTTCGATTATAACTGCGATGGAGCCTAGTCTAACAGAGTGGCACTGGCAGACACAGCGAACTGTATGCCTATACAAGTAGCCCGGGAAATTCCGCGCCGACTTGACATATCGCGCCCGGATGACTATTTCTGGAGACGTCGGAACGAAAAGGGCGCTAGTTTGATCGAGACAGAGCGTTCGCCGCTCGGAGGAGTCGATCATCTTCACACCCGCGGCTCGCACAGGAAACGAGCGAAGAGATTGTGCCGGGCGCGTGCTCGGTTGAGACCCGAGATTCTGGTCGGCCCTCGGCCAAGAGCGCCGATATACTCGCCGACCGTGGACGCTTCTCTCTCTCCCTTGTGACAAGTGTAGGCGCCGTTTCCGCCGGAGATTTCGTTACCCCGCAACAAGCGTGTGTTTGTGTGTGTAGTTCCTGGATGATAACGATGCCCAAGCGGGGGTCGGCGTCGTCCAGGTTCCGAGCAGCCGCATTGCAAGCCGTGCGTTCTGTGCGTTCGCAGTCCAGCGACCTGTTCGAGCTGCTCAACAAGCTGCAGAACAGCCGGCTCGACGACCAGCGCTGCGAGCTGCCCCGGGGCGAGCCGTCGCAGGCACGCCGCAACAATGCGGCGCCCGTCAGCAAGGCCGAGGTAAGTGCGCTTGCATAATATGCCGTAACTATAAATCGAAAAATTAACATAACATGAAAGTGTTAAGTAGGCCGTATTCGGCAGTGCATATGGCCTTTTAAGAACGTGTTTGACTATTGAGCAGCGTCACCGGCACTAAGTGTCTGCACATTTTCTTTTCTTTTTGTCCTCGCTGCTTCTGTCTTTGTATTTCGCATTTCCCCCTCTCCTTTTCCTTCTCCCGAACGTAGGGTACTCAACCAAACTGCTGTCTGGTTAACCTGCCCTGCCTTCTCTCATTTGTATTCCTTTCTTCCTTGCTATTAAAGAACCTAGAAACCTCAAGAAAGACTTCAGGCAAAGATGGTATATATCACTGAAGCGTACTGATGAGTGATACATTTATCTGTTATCTGTCCTATGCCTTGGGCCATTCGACGAAAGCTTTAATTGTATTACCATGACTTAAATCAAACGTGTATTCGACTACTGATGTCAGCGCATGCGTGGCTATTATCGGTTACAGTAAACGTCACTTCAGGCGAAGCCACTTTTGCTCACTGCAGTCCGCGTAGTGAAGAAAAGGAAGTTGTGATGAAAGAAAAAAATTTACCACGATGTTTGGGAATTTACGCAGAACCGTTTTGTCACTATCCGTGGCTATATGCTTTAGAACTGGGTAATAATTAGCCTTCTGATCTGCTGCAGCTAGCTGTAGTTTCCTAGTTATAGTTTACTCTGTGGAGTGACCAGACCGACAGTTATTGGTCCGAGGTTCAACGCCCACTAATATAAGGATTATTGCTTTTTCTTCGAATACAAGGCTTCGTTTTTCAGAAACCCGCATTGTTTTGTTTTTTTTTCAACTTCGCGCCCGCGCTTGACATTCACGCGCATTGTGCAACAGTCTCTTATGTTGTTTTTTTTTTACACAAAAGAAGTTAGAATTTGTTGCATCTTTCATTGCATCTTACTTTGAACCTTTTGGTTAACGCAGGCACCGACTGTAACCGATGCGCAGTTTAACTATAGTGACGACTTAACTGACGTGAAGCAAATATTGTGGGCATTTATGAGTGGGTCAACCCCCATCATCTTCATCTGTATAGTATTATCAGTATATTGCGTTTTGTTATGCATCCTCATCGTCTTCACGTATCATCATCCCCATCTTGGCCGCCTTGTTTTCGGGCCAAATAAACGTCGTCCAAACCAAGACCTTAGACAATATAATCACCGTATTCATAGGCGTACGCTTGTCAAGCTTTGGAGCGTCCGCTTCACGTTGCGCGATCTATTCGATCTATTGCCACGTTGGTATATATATATATATATATATATATATATATATATATATATATATATATATATATATATATATATATATATATATATATATATATATATATATATATATATATATATATGCAACGGAAACGTTTCCCAAGCGGCCACTGAAGGTATTTTGCACGGCGCACAGCCACGAAGCGCGCTCTTTTAACACTGCAGCACAAATTAACAGTGTGAAAAAAAAACAAGAACATAGGTCATTTTGCTATCGGGAAAACAGGTATAAGCAAAGCTTCGTGTAGTACATTTATTTCATTTAATGAATATGCTGCAACACTGAAATAGGATTTAAGCAGTGAATATAGAATCGTTTAGTTGACCAATTGACAAACAAATAAAACAGGCGATGTATGTACTGGCTTTCAAAAAAAAAGACGATGGTTTGCAATAAACAATCATAGGGGCATATAATGAAATCAGCGCTACATTAAAAATAATCACTAGTAGATGTACTTCTTTCGCGTTCCACAATGCTCCCTCGTAACTTTTCCAGTCAGTCAGGCCGGGAATCGTGCCTTCATCCACGACCTTAGCGACGGTATCATTGTGTCGTAGGAGAAGGGACTTCTGTTGCCATACAGACATCAGTGAAACATGGCTACGTGAAATGACAAGCCCATTGGATAGAACGTCATAATTCCATATCGGAAACGGCTCATCGTCCACTAGCCCAAAGTGTAGATCGCTTCAGTGGAAAGAGATATCTGCAAGTTTGCATGTGGCCAGCGCACCATCCAGGTCCGCAACTTCTTCACGTCCGTGGTTGCCGGGTTTTTTCGCGTGCGTAATCTGTAACCTTTAACAAGATTGGCTTGAAGATGTCGAATATCTGTATGCGGCTGACGAGCTTCCAGTGCAGTAGCATAATTGCGTAACGTGGGTGCGTGGAAACCAGGCTTCATGCATTGAAGAAGAACGGCTATTTGGCTAGTTGGTTGGAATCCATGGTAATAACGGCTGCAGCGCGAGCACGAAGGTGCTAGAAGAAACGTGAAACGAAAGGCGAGGCAAGGAAATCGTGTTGTCCTCTTTGCTTTCCTTGCCTCGCCTTTCGTTTCACGTTTCTTCTAGCACCTTCGTGCTCACGCTGCACCCTTATTACTAGGCTTCATGCGGTTCCCGTTCATGAGAAGGAACGCTCGCATCGATGTCTGCAGATTAAACACCCACAAGGCCAAGATCACGTTACACAATCGACAATGTTTTTTGGCCAGAAAACGTGCTTCGCAGATGGCAGACGTCACGGAAGCACACGATGCTAGTGGGCATCGTGTGCAAGCCAAAGTAGGTACGGCGCATAAATCTTCCAGGTATTCTAAACGAATGGAGGTATTCTATAAGTTGCAATGGCTGAACGGATCATGGCGCCATATGCCCTCGTAGTAATCATCACATGAAGGGCTGTATTCTGTTTATCTAGATTTAGAATTTTCGAGTATTCTGTAAGCCTGTGTGCTGCTAAGATTTGGGTGCACGTTAAAGAAACTTAGCTGCCCAAAATTTCCAAAGTCCTCCACTACGGTGTCTCTCATATTCATATGGTGGTTTTTGAGACGTTTAACCTCACATATCAATCATCAATCAATCAATCAGAATTTTTTTAGTCATTCCCAGTCTCAGTAGGCCTCTTTGACCTCAAGATATACCTCACGCTGGAAGTCGCGTGCAGTTTACACCCTTCTGCACGCGGTAAACAACATTTGTCTCGCAAATGACATCGCATCGATCGCGGGAGCTGCAACTGTTACATTCCCCAAACACGCACACACGTAATGCCCCGATCAGGCACGCCAACGGATCATTTGCATTCGTGGCCCGCAGGCATGACCTGTGCGTGTTTCTGTGTATACGCGCAGCAAGAGTGGTGCTTTCACCACGTCTGTATATCACCGTGTTTTGCGCTCCCTTTCCACCCTTCTCTTCCCTCGTAGCGTAATCCGCCTTTCGCGCCGACGGTAGCAGAAAACTGCTATACTGTTATGCGTATACAAGTCCCAATGCTATGCCATCGCACGGTCCATTTCTCGCGTAGTATTTCCGCTCCGCTGCCTCGGCTCTTTGTATTCGCGGACGCTCTTCATTCTGAGTGCAGCCAGGCGTTGCTGAAACCTTGCACCTCCCCCCACCTTCTCCACTCGCTTCATCTTACTCTCCCAGCTTCTAGGGTTACGTAGATAAGAAGAAAACGACGTCCGATAGCCGCTGAAGAAAACGCAATATGCAACCTCCTATGGGGGCTTTCTCGGCGATTGCGTTAAAAGCTTGCCCCGCTGTCGCGCGGATAAAAAGGCACGCCCTCCGCGGGTATTGCAACTCCTGGTATGGAGTGTTTTACTTCGTCTCTTTCATTTTATTGCTTCTATGTATAGCATTGTTTACCCATGAATGCAGCGTGTAGACTAGTGCTTGTTATGTTGTTCATTAGAGGTGGTAGGGGAACGTTGCGCTGCAGTACACACGTGTATGTGGCCACGCGACGTTTGATGCCCGACTAGATTACCTTTTTTCCATTAAAGGCAGTTAACTACCTTAGCATTGATCAGTAGCAATATTGGCAATACTGAGTATCCCACGTGTGTGTGTGTGTGTGTGTGTGTGTGTGTGTGTGTGTGTGTGTGTGTGTGTGTGTGTGTGTGTGTGTGTGTGTGTGTGTGTGTGTGTGTGTGTGTGTGAGAGAGAGAGAGAGAGATACCCCCATCATCGTGACTGAGTATCGCCAATGATCAGTGTTTAGATCCGGAACCGCATTAAGCCGCTATGTCTCCCTTTTTTTATTTTATTGTTGTCTTTTTGTAGTCACCAGATTGGCGTCTTACAATTACTTTGTACGATCATGTAAAATTTTTTCATGTTACACTGTAGTTGTATTGAGCAAACTCAATGAAGGAGTGCAGATTCGAATTCGGGCCTTCTCATTTTAAGGACTATCCAATACGGTGGTCCGGGATCTGAATCCGGGCCCGTAGGTTGCGGGGTCGAATCCAGAACGCGGCGGCGGCGTTCTCGTTGGAGGCGAAAAGCGCTAGAGACTCGTGTTCAGGCATTCCAGTGTGCGTTGTCGACGTCCACGCAGTCGAAATTTCTAGCGCCCTCCACTACGGCGTCTCTCACGATCATATTATGGTTTTTGGCACGTAAAGCGTTCGAAACTTCGAAACTCATTACTGCATCCTAAACCAAATAAGCAACATATTTTCAGCTTGCATAAAAGCACATGGATGCAATACTGCGTTATCTTATCCACCCCTATAGGCAGGACAAAATGATATTGAAGATAAAAGGTTCCTAAAAATAAAGATTAATTTAAGGGAAACGAGACACACAATAGAAACGGTAACAAATAGCGTACAATGGGCACCAGTGGCTCAATTTACAATACAAAAAGCCGATGAACATAGCGCTGAGGGAACGTCGATTAGATAGGACACGCTGATGTCATCTTATCTATAAGACCTCATACAAGAGTAGAGTACAGCCGCTGCATTGCGAAGCAGTCAGCATTGTCTGACGTGGCAATCCTTCCGTCAACAGGCATTTCAGCCATCCGAGTTTCTCTTCCAACAAAGAACAGAAGAACTACGGTCGGTGTAATGTAAATTACCTTTTAAGGTTGCTTTACATCTGCGAAAGCGCCGAAACAAAACTGACGCTGTCCATTTAATAACAATGCAAACATGAAGAACATAGGCAAACAAAGCGCAGAATGTTGCAGCAGCATAAAAATGAGCGTTTGACATGACCTACGGCAGAGGTAGTGGGCATAGTCTGAGTGCAAAAAGCAAACATTAGGAAAAATTAAACCCACACTACCCTCTCTCCATTATAAAAACTGTCGGGGTCTCTTATGCATTTACTTAAAGCTTTTTCCTCCGAGTTAATGCATGAATGTAAGCCCGCCACCCTTCGAAACTTGTCTGCACCTAACGTGGCTTTGTACAGCCTCCAAGGTCGCAAGCACCTCACCTGGTTTAGCATAGCCTCCTTGATCGGACCACTTTCGACCAAGCTACGACGCGACGTCATGTCATCATCATATGATGTCACGTCGCGTGACGCCTTGATCACGTCATAATGCCGTCTCAAAATGTTGGTGATCTGTTTCGGAATGTTGATTTTTTCGCGTCACTCGTCTTTGACGCCACCGACGCGGGACATTGATGTTCCTTACTACGCCGAAGAATTCCCTTTCAGAGACACGGAAATTCCCAATTTCGGAGATTTTTTTCCTGCAAACTTTAATGAAATTTTCAGCATATTTCCGTGCACAACAGTACTAATTCATGCCTCCATCCACAAACACACATACTATAATTACGCGTGTCTGACATACTGCCGGCTTTTGAAATCATGAGTAGCCCCTCCACTGCCGCACAACAAAATCATAATTTCATTAATTGATATACTAACTGCCCAATGTGGGCTTAGTCTAACACCAATAGTGAACTAAAAATCCCTCCTTGTAAATATCAGAAACAAATCTCACGGGCTATGCTTGCGGTGTATGCGCCAGAGCCGATAACACAAAATAAAGGCGTAGTGTGACCGCTGATTATCGGTCGTCATAGGAGAATTAAACTGTTCTCGAAATTCCCTGCAATATCACGAAGATTCCCTTTTTCCCTTCGGCTCAAAATGACAAGCGAAAATTCCCCGAAAAAGGGAAAATTCCCTGCACGGGACATCACTGTGCTGGATGTAGACGGTCTAGTTTCCCATATCATGAGGTATCTGAGGCTTTCGTCTTAAAACCTGTGTGTTCTCTGCCGCCCTTGTAATTGATGCCAGCAGGTCGCGGGTTCGAATCCCGGCTGCGGCGGCTGCATTTCCGATGGAGGCGGAAATGTTGCAGGCCTGTGTGCTCAGATTTGGGTGCACGTTAAAGAACCCAGGTGGTCGAAATTTCCGGAACCCTCCACTACGGCGTCTCTCATAATCATATAGTGGGTTTGGGACGTTAAACCCCGTATATCAATCAATCAATTAATGCCAGTATGCCTTCCGCACTGACCTACCTTACTCCATTTTCTTTGTGTTGCTCGTTCTCCTCCTCCTTACCCCATTACTTCTTCGTCACAAAGGTAAAGTGGAGCGTTGTTTTACTGTTGTGGTGGTGCATTAAACGGGAAAACAAGATTAACGACGGCGTCATTCTAAGCCGAACATTATAATGATTTGATACACATATATACGTGCATGGAAGCCATGTACTAACATCTGTTTTGTCGAGTTGAACGGAAAGTGACGCATTGTGTAACAGTTACTCCTTGTAACCACATTGTGTTCGTAATTTTCCCTGTCATTTTACAGAGGCAGACTCAAGACCAAGAAAAGTTAGAGGAGGTAAGCAGTGCTTTCGCTCCACTGTCTTTTTTTTAAAGCCAAGAAATGGAAAGTACAGTGTTTTTATAGCGCGTTTGCATACCTCTCCCCCCCCCCCAAAAAAAAAAGAAAAAGCGCAGCAGTAGAACTTCCGTTTGAGAAGATACGTCACGTGTACGGTGTGGTCACGCGTTACGTTATACCACCGCTAAAATATTGCGGGATCGAATTCCGGCCGCAGTGGCCTCTGTTTCGGTGGAGGTGAAATTGCTAAAGGCGCAAAAATGCTAGCGTGCACCTACAGCCATCTTTAGGTGCACGTTAAAGTGTCTCTAAAGCACTTTTTCAAGTAACCAAGGAATTAATTCACTGAAAGAGCGCATTGTTTCAAGAATTTGATGCCGCCAGAGAGAGAGGAAACTTTATTAGAACTTGGCCGGCAGCTTGGTCTTGGTGGCCTCAGATGGCGGCGCCGAGTCCCTGAACTCGGGCGGCATCTTCGGCCTGCCGGACAGCCCAGAGCTGGTCGTTGAGCTCCGAGCTTCTGAGCGCCGCCTCCCAGCGGTGGCGTCGCCGACGGAGAAGGTCCCCCGCGGCTCCCGCAGACGGGACGGCGGCGGGATGCCGCCAATATTTTAAGAATCCGTAGTACGAGCGGAGTTACAGATATTTGTCGCACGCTGCGAATGCATTCTTTCTTCTCTCGTCCCGACGAAAGCACTAGAAGCTAAACAGGGAAGAATGGCGCGGGGAAAAAAAAAAATACGTCACGCGCTCCTCGTGACCTTGAGCACTTTTAATTTGTTTTTATTTAATATGCAGCTTTTTTAGTGTGAACGCGCGCGCATTCGTGAACAAGTCGTGGCCTCCTGCGGCAATCCCTGCAATGACCGAGCGTGCCATGTTTTCAATAAGCTGATAGAAGGCCTTTTACGAGCGATTTTTGAGCGTCTTCCGTCATTCGTCAATCGCAGAGAAATCTATTTTCAGCTGACTGACAATTTATTGGGAATTCTAGGCCGCGTGCAGTGCTATAACATTTGGCTGACGTGTTCTCGGGAGCCTCTATTACCGATCGGCAGTGTTTTCTGGCCGTGCTCAAAAAATGTTGCAGGCTCCCTTTAAAGAATATATTCTCAATGACGGCCGGCTTCACTAATGATATGTACCGCATCGAGATTGGCTGAGATATTTTCTTGCGAAAGTTCTTAGCATAAGACTTCGTCGGGAATTCGGGCCCTTACGAGGATCTTACGTCACGTAATCTGTAATCGAGTTCTTTTTATAGCTTACATGCTTACGCAAATTTCGTTTTCTTAAAAGTTTCGGAAGATTGTAGACAGCTATCCTTGTGTGACCTTCGCATGTCTAAACATGGCACCAAGAGCGTAACTATTAAGGCTCAGCCACGTATGTCGGTCTTGCCGGGAATGCATACGGCGTCTTTCATAATTATCCTCGTGCTTTTGAAACCTCAGACCGATGCACTCGACTTAATGTTTTTTTTTTGTGTGAATACAAGTACATGTTTGGGGCACGGTTCACTCATGGAAAACATGTTTCAGCTCATATTTAGGGACAACTGTTTGTCATCGAACTGTGTCACCAATGATATAAACGTACTATCTATAAAACTGCCGCAACGTACGCTTCCCAAATATGTTTTTTCAATCAAATACTAAATAAACAGTTCTGCTCGGGCTGCCAACGTAAGTGGACGTTTGACGAAAACATCCACCGTGTAAGGGTTATAGAATCTATCTTTACAAAGGCGCGCACCTGTGAGATGACATCGTGATGGAATGCCAATAGTCTTGGCAGTGCGATCTGCATCCGAAGCGAAAGGGAATACAAAAGAACTGCACTATTTAGGGACGAAGCTCCTTAAAGTGGCTCCCGTTCGTCCCTCGTCGTAGTGCGTAACCAGTCTTACGTTTTGATTTGCAAGGTGGAGCCGGTGGGAGATTTCTCCTGTGCGTTGTTGAACAATAAGAAATTCGCAGCGTGCGCGTTAACTAAAAGCCGAATTCCGCAGTCTCTCATTCCCCATTAGCAGCCAGGGGCAGGTACATTGAGCACTATCTGACAAGAAAGGGTTGCTACGTTATACTTGCTGGGCGTAACCTCTTTGGTTTTAGAAACGTTTAGCAAGCGTTGGGCTGCAGTGCCATGAATACAGTGAACCATACAGTGAACCACGAACCGTATACCATGAACTCGAGGTGGTTAAAGGAGGGAAGTAGACACGAAGCGCAAGCCGTAAGAAAGTCTGCGTGTGCCACCTCGTTTAGTTCTTGAAATGTCCGCTGGATGGCAGTGCTTCTATATGCGTAATATATTGTCGCGGTACAGCGCGAACCAAAGGCAGATAAACCTTGACACAGCGGCTCTCAGCAGCCGAACAGCAAGATCGCCTTCTTTATCTTCAATCAGCCAGAGCTCCACTACCTGGTATCCGCCAAATCTCCTTATCGTCGTTTTGGTCCACCAGTACACACGTGTCATTTGCCCCCCCCCCCCCCTTAATGAGCATCGCCCCGATGCTAAACCAGTAGTGCAGTTTTTTTGCCTGTTCTTTAAGAAGTGTCTTGCGCAGTCACTACCTTTCATAAGGCTTCATGCGCACAACGTGAACTAGTTCAGGACGGTGCTGGCGAAGCCTCGTACTATATGAACTGTCGGCGACGACCTCGTAAGTAACATCACTCAGTCGTCGAAGTACTAGATATGGCCCAAAGTATCTCCTTAGGAGCTTTTCAGAGAGTCCTCGTTTCCGTATGGGCGTCCAAACCCATACTCTGTCGCCGGTCTGGTAAACAACTGTTCTGCGGCGAGAATTGTAGCGGCTCGCGTCGTACTCTTGTTGTTGCTGGATTCGCAGGCGTGCTAGTTGTCTTGCTTCTTCCGCTCGTTCTGTAAACATTTCGGCGTCCGGTTCGATTTCGTCGCATTCGTGCGCTCGCATCGCATCTAACATGGTTCGTACTTCCCTTCCGTGAATTAGGCTAAACGGGGTCATCTGGGTTGTTTCTTGCTTGGCATTGTTGTATGCAAACGTGACATATGGCAAGATTTCGTCCCAATTTTTGTGTTTGACGTCTACGTACATTGAAAGCATGTCTTCAATTGTTTTGTTCAGACGCTCTGTAAGCCCGTTCGTTTGCGGGTGGTAGGCAGTGGTCTTACGATGGGTTGTTCCACTCAGCATGAGGACTTGTTCCAAAAGAGCTGCCGTAAATGCGGTTCCTCTGTCTGTGATTACTACGCTTGGTGCACCATGCCGCAGGACAACGTCCTCGATGAAAAATTGTGCCACCTCCGCTGCTGTACCTCTCTGGATAGCCTTTGTTTCAGCATAACGGGTAAGGTAATCAGTCGCGACAATAACCCAGCGGTTCCTAGCAGTAGAAGTAGGAAGTGGGCCCAAAATATCCATGCCAATCTGGTCGAATGGTGTTCTTCGGACCTGCACGGGCTGCAGGAGGCCAGCTGGTTTAGTCGGCGGTGACTTCCGTCGCTGGCAGTCGAGGTAAGTACGAACATAGTGTTTTACGGCTATGGTCAGTCTTGGCCAGAAGTAGCGCTGCCGTACTCTGGCCAACGTTCTCGTGTAACCTAAGTGGCCTGAAGTCACCTCGTTGTGGCTTGCTTCGAGTACTTCGGAGCGAAGGGCTGCTGGGATGACGAGCAAATACGCAGATCCTGTCGAAGAGAAGTTTCTTTTGTATAATACTCCGCTCCGTAAGCAAAATGATGGCAGCGCTCTTACGAAAACAGTTGGTGCCTTCTGAGATCTTCCCTCCAAGTAATTAATTAGGGCAAGTAACTCAGGGTCGCCATGTTGTTGCTGTGCAATAGCGGTTGAGTCAAGTACACCGAGAAATGCTGTTTCCTCCTCATCGGATAGAGTTGCCGATTCAATGGGTGAGCGGGATAGACAGTCGGCGTCCATGTGGTGCTTTCCTGACTTGTGTACGACAGTCATGTCGTACTCCTGCAGCCTGAGACTCCAACGCGCTAATCTCCCGGTAGGATCTTTAAGATTTGTCAACCAACACAGTGAGTGGTGGTCGCTGATGACTTTGAAAGGGCGGCCGTATAAATACGGGTGAAATTTTGTGACCGCCCATACCACGGCGAGGCATTCCTTCTCAGTCGTGGAGTAATTGGTCTCGGCGCGTGTCAGTGTTCGGCTTGCATAGACGATTACTTTTTCTGTGCCCTCTTGCAGCTGCACAAGCACAGCTCCCAAACCAATATTGCTGGCATCAGTGTGTAGCATCGTTGGGGCTTTCTCATCAAAGTGGGCAAGCACTGGAGGCGTCTGTAGTCGCTGGCGGAGGTTCTTAAAAGCAGCTTCCTCTTCGTTGCTCCATTGGAAAGCAACTTCTTCTCTCGTGAGGCGGGTCAACGGTGATGCGATGCGTGCGAAGTCCGCGATGATTCGCCTATAATACGCACATAGTCCTAGGAATCGTCGGACAGCCTTCTTATCAGTCGGCACCGGGAACTGTGCAACAGCTGCGATCTTTTCAGGATCAGGACGAACGCTTGCGTGACTGACAACGTGGCCAAGAAATTGCAGCTCTTCATAGCAAAAGTGGCACTTTTCAGGCTTCAACGTCAAGCCCGCAGACCGTATGGCTTGTAAAACTGCCTCAAGTCTTTTAAGGTGCTGGTCAAATGTTGCGGCGAAAACTACGACATCATCAAGGTAGACCAAGCAGGTTTTCCACTTCAACCCAGAAAGTACGGTATCCATAAGTCTTTGAAAGGTAGCAGGCGCTGAACATAAACCAAAGGGCAAGACTTTAAATTCATATAAGCCATCTGGTGTCACAAAAGCAGTCTTCTCGCGGTCTCTTTGGTCTACCTCGATTTGCCAATACCCACTCCTTAAGTCCATCGATGAAAAGTAACGAGCATGTCGAAGTCTGTCGAAAGAGTCATCTATACGAGGAAGTGGATACACATCTCTCTTTGTCACCTGATTGAGTTTTCGGTAATCTACACAGAAGCGC